CAAGTTACTCTTGGCCCTTGTTCCAGATGGACGTTAAAAATGCCTTTCTGAATGGAGACTTATAGGAAGAGGTCTACATGCAGTTGTTCCCTGGATTCTATGATACAGAGACAGGTAAGAAGGTTTGCCGACTGAATAAGGCATTGTATGAATTAAAGCAGTCCCCTAGATCTTGGTTTGATAGATTCAGACTAGCCCTTGGAAAATCTGGCTATGTACAGGCCCAGTCAGATCATACACTGTTCGTTAAAAGAGTGAACTCTTCTTTGACCTTGCTTGCTGTATATGTAGATGATATTGTAGTGATAGGGAATAATAATAGTGAGATTGAGTCTCTCAAACAACTCCTTCATCAAGAGTTTGAGGTGAAAGATCTTGGTGCACTGTGATATTTTTTGGGTATTGAGGTTGCTAGATCTAAACAGGGGATCTTTATCTCTCAAAGGAAGTATGTTCTAGATCTGTTGGCGGAAACTGGAAAGTTAGGTGTCAAGCCTACCGATACACCCATTGAACAAAATCACAAGATCAATGCAGAGGGTGGAGAGCCTCTTGAAGACAAAGTTATGTTCCAACGGTTGGTTGGAAAGCTCCTATATCTCTGCCTCATACGGCCAGATATTAGTTATGTAGTCTGTGTTGTCAGTCAGTACATGCATTCCCCTAGAACTACTCATCTTCTTGCAGCTGAGAGAATATTAGCATACTTGAAGAGATGCCTAGGTAGAGGTATACTGTTCAAGAACAATAATCACATGAAGGTGGAGGTCTATACTGATGCTGATTGGGCTAGGAGTGCTGATGACAGGAGGTCTACCTCTGGATATTGTGCCCTTGTAGGAGGTAACCTTGTCTCTTGGAGGAGTAAGAAACAAAGTGTTGTTTCYCGCTCTAGTGCCGAAGCTGAATACAGGTCAATGGCTAACGGAGTGGCTGAAATCACTACTTGAAGCCCTTGATGCTGTATTGTGATAATCAGGCGGCTATTAATATAGCTCACAATCCAGTGCAGCATGACAGAACTAAACATATCGAAGTTGATCGTCATTTTGTCAGTGAAAGGGTCTCATCACAAGAAGTGTGTCTCCCGTATATCACCTCCAACATGCAGCTCGCAGATCTTCTCACCAAGGCTGTTCCAAGGAAGAAGTTAGAGGCAGACCTATTCAAGTTGGGAATGACAAATATCTATTCGCAACTTGAGGGGGAGTGTAGAGAACACTGAT